AAAAAGGAATTTTTTTTAAACAACAGAAAAGAAAAAAAAAAAAAAAAAAACAAAATTTATTTTTATTATATATGTATATTTGAAGATTTAATAAAAAAAAAACAATAAACAAATTTTACTAAATAAAGTAAATTATATTGATAAATATTTTAATTTAAAAAAAATAATTATAATTAACAATAAACTTTATATTTTATTATATATAAATTAATTAATATTATTTAAATTTATTGTTTTGTATTAAATAATTAATTGAAAATATAATGACTTAAAAATCAAAATATATAAATAAAATTTAAAAAAATTAAGTTAAATAATTTAATAAAAACCATATTTATATAAACCAATTTAATTTATAACAAATTTAATTAATTAATTTTTAGATTAGATTAATTTATAAAAAATTAAAATCAATTTAAAAAAAAAATAAATTTAATTAATTGTGATTTTAGTTAAACCAATTCAAACTGAATTGTTATAATTTCTAGTTTTATATATTAGTATTTATTAAGACTTTTAATAATATTATTTTGATATTAGTTCAATTCTTAAATTTATTATAAATTCACATAAATAGTTTACAACTTATATATTAAATTTACTATAAATTGGTACTATTTTGATTATGATTCTGAAAATTGAAATTGAATAGAATTACATAGAATTACATAAGGTTTGGAATACTAATAAAAATAATAGTAAATTATATTCCATCTTTAAATTTAATATAAATTTAAGAATTGAATATAGAATCAAAAAAAATCATTAGAATTCTTAATTTTGATACTAGTTTGATACCAGTTTGATACTTTTTGGAACTTTAGTATTTATGCTATGTAACCTTTTTAAAAATATTTTATATTATATCAAAATATTATATAATAGAATTTGTCATATCAATAGAAGATATAAACTTTTATTGAAATTAAATTAGAAGCCTTTTCTTATGTAATTTTTTTTACTTTAACCTATTTTCAGTTTACAATTATCAGAAATATCAAAGGTTTCATCTTTATACAATCTAACTTTGTATGATTAAGATTCAATATTTAAATACTTGATATTTAAAATAATTGCTAAATCTATATACAGAAGGACTTTATGTATTTTTGTTTCCTGTAAATATTAAACTAGAGACATTTGATAATTTTCTGGTTAGAGAAAAAAGGAATATCAAATTGAAATAAGGTGTATGAATTCAAAGACAAAATCAATCTTTTGTAAGCAGTCATTAAATTCTACATTCATTAAAAAAATGCAATGTTATTTGTACTATATTATAACTTTTTTTTTGTATAGACAAGTATTTTGTCAATATTAATTTGTTTTTTTTTCTTTGTCTTTCTAGTAATTGGTTATTAATAAATTTAAAATTAAATATGATTATCTTTTAATTATGAGTTTAAGAGTTTATAGAATCTTTATAAATGTATGTTGTGATAAATAAATTAATAAAATAATAAAATGTTAGATATTTTGTCTACATACTGTATAATGCATAAAGATTAAATAAAAATGTATGTATTTGTCGTTTATGCATGTCTTTATTGTAAAAAGATTTTTTTATCAAGTTAAAAATAAAATAGAATTATTGTAAGCAACCGTGAGATTATAAAACAAAAAATAGTAATAATAAATTTCTTCTATTTAAACTTTATTAAAAGTCAAATAATGATATCTATTAATTCAATGGGCTTAATAATGAATACAATAAAAGTAAAAAAATTTAAATAAAATAAATAATGTGAATGTGATAATGCAGCAAGAAGTTCCTAATGACGCACAGATAAAAAATTTCAATTATCGTACAGCAATGCTTGAAACCTATGCACAGGTAGAGTGATTGATTGACTTTTTCCAGGTAAACGGTTCCCGCATCATCTACCGTTTCAATGTGTCGAACTGGATTTGGAACCATACGTACGGATAATAATCCTTCTCGACGAGACTTTGAAACTCTTCAATGTTTTCCTCTTTATTAGCTTGTTTAGCCATTACCCCTCCAAGTTTTCCGTACTGTGTGTTTAGTATCTCTCTTATTTTTTTCTCCATCTTGTGTTTTGGCTTGTGATCAAAAAATCTCATTAGGACAATAACGTTCAGAAAAAAAAAAAAAAGAAAGATGTTAAAAAAAAAGACAAATACTTTTATTATTGCTGACATGAAATCCGGTGGCAATCCATAACGTAGGACAGATTCCACGTAGACTCTCAAAGCTTTGAGATGGATCCATGAGGAAAAGACCTCACCAAAATTTGCGCTGGCAAATCGCAATAACGAAGTCTGTGCGGATAAACATGTAAGTAAGGAACGAATAAGAAAAAAAACTTTTTTAATGATACACGAACACATACCCATAACTCCTTTTCGGTAGCACCAACTTCTTCAAGTTGTCTACGTTGATTGATCATTTCATTTTCGTCGTATTTAAATTCCCTCGCAACGAACCTGTTTATTATTATACAGATACATTTATTCACTTTTTGAATGGTAAATCCACGGAAAATAGAATAACATCCATCTTTGAATGCGAATTACTTTTCTTCTCGACACTTGTGGGTAAAATCTTCGGCAATTCTTTTGAAAAGGGTTACCGTGAATAAACCGTACTCATCATCCTCCGTAATTTTTCTATATCAGACAAATCCTTAACATATGGGCATCATGCGAAACGTCTTAACAAATAACAGTATAGCCACATTGCTTACTGAGATGAACGTGGTACGACCATTTGAGTCAATGTCTCGTATTTCGAATTCCACTCTTTATACTGGTTCCTAAGATTTTGGTTCCGCGTAAGTCTCGGCTTCACGGATCGTAGGTATAAAGACCGAGTAGGCGGTCATAGCTTACCTGGGAACTGCGACGAGTAAAGTTTCCAGGTATTCAGAATCCAAAACAAAGTGTTCTTTTTTAACTAGACCAGCCAAATTTCGGACGGACAAATTTCCCCTAGATGAAAAAATTATAATAGCATAAATGAGATAATGGTTGGAATCAAGTCAATCATTCAGCCCATTTCGAGAGAGAGAAAAATACGTTTGCTTTCTTTCCAAAACCTGTAGGTTGGTCTTTGCCTGACTGTAACTGGCCAGCCTGGACTTCATCGCTGTGTCGATATCAGAGACATTCTGGTATCGCATCATAATGAAAATATTTTCAGAATAAACCATAGGTTACATGAGAGTAATTCATGAATATCAAATCGTCTGACCTTATTAAGAGTTTGCGCTATCTCTTGCAGAGATTTTTCCGCCCGAAACTTCATGGCATCCCATTGAAAGGTCTTTAGGTATTGATCAATGTTCACTGTTATTCCAAGAACAGAACAAAAAGATTTTAAACACAATCTGAATCAACTTGAAACACCAAATAAGATGAAACATCAGGACACCTTCGTTAACCAACAGATTAGGCTCGATTTGTTCGACATCACCCTTCAGCAGACTACGAAGAACATCTACGATTTTCATGGCTGATGACTCAAAGTATTGATCATATTTGACCAGTTCATCAGAGATAACGACGAGGGCATCAAGTGTGCCTATCTATCAGGGTGACAATTGTTAATGAAGAAGGGAAGGATGATGACGATGAAAACACCTTAATTCTTGATTCGTTGAGAACTACCTGACTGGGAAATGTTCTATACTTGATGCACTCAAGCTCACCTTAAATTCCGGAACTATGAACTGACTCACTTCAGCCAAATCGGCGGAAGGGCCTGATAACTTTGTCTTCAAACTTTGAAAAACTGTAGTCTTATCCCCTTCGGCGGGAACTAAAATTGAGATGTGTCTATGGAATTCTGCTGGAGGAATCGCAAAGTACTAAAACCAAAATTTTTAAAGTACCAGAGATAAACCAGTAAGTGCTGTTCTTGCTCCTTGACATTCTAAAGTGAAGTTCGAGCACTTTCGACGTGGTTCAAAATTTGAAAGGGCGTTAAACGAGCATGATCTAAGATCTGATGTATTTATTGTACTTCTTTATATTGCCAGATTATTAATCTAGCAATGATCTGCGTATTTGATCTCTGAGAATTACCATTGGACATTAAGATCTACGAGTAGCACGTGATGGTGGTTGATCAGGCGATCAGAAAGACATATATAAATTTTGGAGTACGGAATTAATATCCGCTTCAGCAAACAGACTTCAATAATTATGCGTAGATCTCTTTGGGTGATATTTTTGGGAGCCATCATTGCCTGCACAACTGTTGTAAATGCTGAGGACACTAATCTCGATTGTCAGGTTAAAAATGTTACTTCACAACAAATATATGACTTAAGACCTCTGATAAGGGAATCAGGGTAAGCAAGCGGAATTTCCTCTTCGCGAAGGTTTGCTGCGAGAGGGAAATCCTACAAATATCGAGTCACTATTCATTTTTTTTTTTTTTTTTTTTCTCAAGAAAATTAATGAAATCTTTTCTTCTTAGTGCTGATTGGGAGGTAGTTTCGCAAAATTATACTTTTCATTTAAATGTTTGTCACAAGATTCTGTATGACAAAACTGGGTTGTCAAATGTCGATTCTTTTGGCATATGGGGTAAACGTGAAGGTGGTAATGAAAATTTGAAAGTATTTTCGGGGTAAGAATTTCGAAGAATCAAGTTTTTTGCGAAAGAAAGTTAACGAACATTTTCACGGATTCATCACATTGAACTACTTTCATGGTTAAAAGGAAATTTAGTAAAGAACCTCAGTTGATAGGTGATGTGAATTTATATCATGGATCCAACAACTTGTGGCCAACGTGAACTCACTTATCGCGTCCGATTTTGTAGAAGGTGCGCTCCACCTAAAATACGAATCAGATGACCATTGTGGTACCAATGACTATAAACGTTCGGCCCTAATTGTTTTTACGTGCGATCAAACTGTCGATGGATCGGTAAGTGAACAATCGAATTTTTTTGTTATTGGAATTGACAAAATATGTTCTTATTTCTTTGATCGCGTCTCAAAGGGTGCGCCAAGGTTTGTTACCTCCTTTAACGACTGTGCGTTTTGGTTCGAGTGGAGAACTCCCGTAGCATGCCCCAGCAAGATCAAGGGAGAGGGCATGGGTTCCTGGGGAGTCTTCTTTACAATGTAGGTGATTTATTGCAAATCTTCAAGTTCCGATCCAATTTAATTTCTTATCGAAATATCTATTATTGCCTTGAAGTTCCGGAATCGCATTGGCTGCTTATCTTATTGGAGGCATTGCGTATAACCGTATAGTGTATCGTGCGGCTGGATTAAATCAGATACCCAACTGGGAATTCTGGCGAAACTCTGGGGAATACATCAAGGTAAAGATAAAACAACTCATCATTTATCACCTCTCGTTCATTCATTCATTAATACATCTTTATTTTATAGGACATGGTTTTGATAATATTTGCACAATGTCCGATGACCAGACCGAGGAGACCACAGGGGAGTTACATGAATTTGCCTAGGGACGAAGAAAATATTTTGATTGATGATGACTTTGAGGAGCATTAGATTTTCGTTTTTCCTTTCTTTTCTTTTCCTTTCCTTTCCTTTTACCCTTTTTTTTTTAGATATCAGTGAATGTATTGTAATCTTTATTTATCTCGCTTGTGTTAATAAAATGAAAATTCCGGCTTGGTTCACAATCACAGGGTATCGAAATCCTCGGGAATGTCAAAATTTTTATAGAAGTCAGCACGTTCCATTCCAAATTTGTTGCTGCAGTAAGACTGGAGTAGGAAGATGTTCTCTGCCATAATTTCAGGCAAATCGTTAGTAATTGATCATGGAAGGAGATTATGAAAACCTGCAACTAACCCGTCCAACGATTCGCCGCTTCTAGCGCCACCTCAGCATGACGTTCTATCGAAAATATGAAAATGATCATTGCGCGCTCGTTCACGTGTTTCAATTGGGAAGCAAGAAGCTATAGTTACCTTTTGCCTCGAGGAGCACAGGGTCATGTTCTTTATAGTGATCCAATTCCTTCTTGAAATTCGTCCTTTTCATTTCGACTTCCGTTAACTCTTTCAACAAAGAGGTGCGATCGTCCTATTTAATGTCACGTGGGAAACATGTTAAGTTCGCGAACCGAAATCTGGCAATCTCACGAGAAAGGATACTTGCCGACTTTTCACGACCATCAGATGCTTTTTCAATGCTTAATTGCAATTCGGCATTCTTATCCGACAACTTTTTAATTTCTTCGGTGAGTTCTTCAATCTTCACTCGCCGCTAATTGAATGATCAAAACTTCAGCATTGGTGCTCACGAATTGCGTGACATCACTATCACAACGTGATCGAAAGAGTCGTACCGATTGGAGCGCACTACTAGGAAATGACCAGAAGTAATTCGAAGTGCCAATCTTATCTTGAGCAACAAGATTATCATTTACCAATTCTTGAAGAATATCTTTAACCGATTGCATCACTAATGAGATTATAAAGAAATGTTGATTTTCGTGTCGTCGTGCAATTCGTGAAATAACAGTCATCTCAGTTTACCTATCCCCTTTTGTTTTGGAGCGATCCTTTCCAATTCTTTAAGTTGATAAAAGTCCTTCTATTAAATTGCAAGTCAAGGTCCAATAGTTGAGTGAATATTCTCGCGTAGTTGACTCAATAGTGCATACCGTCTCGTGAAACAATTCCTCGAGCCTTTTGCGTTTCTCGGCAGCCGAAAGTCCTTTCTTTGACTAAACGAGCGTTTAAAAATTTTCATTAATTCGTGAAATACCAGCCAGATCCGAAAGGAATGATTCAAAGATACCATGATTTCGAGAGAGAGATAAAACAGGTTCACGTTTACGTACGGGTCGGATTCCAACTTATACGCGACTCAACTTAAGTGCGTCACGATTGCGTATCACATGATCTTATACAGACGTCATGCAAGTTATGCAGTATGTACTGTATATCTTCTAATATATTACTGCATACAGTATTGATTATATTATCAAAGAAAAAAAAAAAATTAATAATTTTATCGCCTTTTAAACAATGCGTTGATTTGTTTAGTTTGTCCAAGAAGTACAGTAACAATGTTTTACAATGACATCAATGACATCTAATAAATATGCTGTATTCTACATTTCTTATTATTTACAAATTAATAAAAGATTTGCTATGAGGCAATCAACAAATGTGCTGTCGAGTTAACTCGATTCTTGGAAATTTCGGAACATAGTGACAAATATTTGTCTGCCATTGAATCGTTGAATGAGCGATAATTGCCTTTTGGATGTGATTACTCACAAAATTTAGAGAATGAGTGTGTGCAGTCGCATCGTGTAATAATGCATGGTCATACAAATTATCTTCGGAGACGACGGATTATGTATCGAGAGATAACGATGTTTTGAGAACGCATCTGCCCACGAGCACCAACAGTGCTTCTTTGATATCCTATCTCCGAGTGACACCGGTGTGACAAATATAGGAATTTGGCATGTTCTCCATGGTACAAATGATTTGTGAATAAGAAGAGGCAAGAATGAGAACGCACAATACGAACGGTGTGTCACGAATTCAACAAATGTAATTAAACGCATTCGTCGCTGCCACTGACATTCATTCATACGATAGAAAAATTAATTCCAGGTGCTTGATACGAGAGACACATTCGAATATTATTATGATATTATTAAAATAAAATGTTTTTTTAAAGGGATGACAACGATGTGATGTGATGAATACAGAAAAACAACAGGGTAAGTCAATCGACCTTTTCAACTTTGTCACTACCAATGACACCACCATTACTCATGTCATCATCAAGAGACGATGCCTTTAGACAAGTTTCAGAAAAACCCGATTCGTGGTTCATCGCGTGTGATTGTTTCTTTCCAATAATCATGCCAAGTGGTATATTCTCGTCGCTGTCATCATCTTGTATTTCATCGTTGTCACCCCTTCTATTGTAATCGTATTCTCTGTGCCTGGTTCGATGATGGTATTTGGGATTGCTAACTATTCCTTCTTCACCATTTTCATCATTCCCGATTCCCATGTGCTCGGGATAATTATCATCATCAAAATCATCCTCTTCTGATTGCTCATTATTCGAAAACTCCTCACTACTCGAATATAATGTGCTTCCGTCAGAAGGAACATCTTCATCATGATAATTGTCAACATCATTTGAATTAATTCGATGCCTGTGATCTTCGGCCAACATTGCTCTTTCTTCCAAAGATATATCTCGAACTATATATCCCTCACTGTCCCTCCTGACATGTCGATGTGTACGATTACGTCGGTGTGAAGAAGAATTATTATATGAAAATTTTTGACTATTATTAGTGCGATAAAATTGATTTTGGTTAAGATTATAAAGTTCCCAAGGTTTCGGTGGTAATTGGGTGGTTGCTTTCGCGTTTGGATCCTTGGGAGGCCAAATGAGAGTGGGATCTAGATAAGAGGAGTAGAGAGTAGTTTGCATGAATAAATGAACGCTTAGGTACAAGTAAAAAAAAGAAAAAAAAAAATCCCTGGTGTCACACAACTAGGAGAAATAGGGGATATCAAAATCTTCTTCATTGTTGTGAGGTATATACATCGTGAGAAGTGAGCGCAAGATCAAAAATAATCCTACGAACCTAGGTCCGATATGATTGGATAATAAACTATAGAACTGATCCTTCGAATCAATAATATATATATATATATATATAATTTTTTTTTTTTTCTTTTTCTTTTTTTTTTTAAACTATGTAGTCCATTTCCACGTCCGATTCTCCAGCCGTACCTGCATTACTCGAAATTGGAAAAGACAACCCATTGCCTTTAATCTGTTGCGGCCAACACCATAGCAATGGATTATCCCCAAGAATTGATTTGACGTTTTCCAAAATTCCAATGTCATATGGAAACACCACCTGGTTGCAAATGAGATGAGAGAGAATTAGGTTGTGAAATATAGAACTTTCCAAGAGTCAAATCCATTTTGTCGTTGACCATCACCGACCTCTTTGATTTTTCCTCGACGAACCATGGTCAACACCTTATCCTTTTCCCAATTTTCTATTGTGGTGGTGTTCGACCACATGCAATAAAAGTGATACATGCTCAGTATACCGACGGAAAAGAGGACCGGGGTGACAGCAGCGTAGTTTAGAACTATGAAAATCATTTCGATCGTCGTCGGTTCTTTCTCAAACTACAGGAAGATGATAAGATGAAATGATCAGAATTCCGTTACGAGGGAAAGAAAGTAAAAAAAAAATTCATTTGCCACATGTACCCTGATCATCGACATATCGTCAATTATTTGCATGGTCCTCTTGATCATTAATATGAAGTGATATATGCACGCCACATCCACCCAAAATACAAATCGTATAAAGTGTCCATAATTGTAGTAGCCCACGCAGTTATTTGTCCACGGGCCTTTGTGAAATTGTGCACATGAAGAATAGAGTTGATTATGATGAGGTGCGAAGTGACATGAGTCCACAACATTCTAGGTGTTTGTGATGAGGATCATACTCACAATGGTGATCCATTTTTAACACGCATCTGTTATATGAACTAGCGATGAGTGTTGTGGTGAAATATCTCGATTCGTATTAAAATCATGATAACAATACCTTTTGCAAGTTCGACAATGATGAGATCTGGGTGGTTTATAAGCCAGACAGGTCCGACAATATCTAGGCGCATGTGTCGTTCTTTTTATCTCAATGTTATCTTGACCCTCCTCGGGGCACTATCGACGAGAGAAGGAATTTGAGATTCTCGAAAATTTGAGACGTGCAACCGAGAATCGATGAAAAAATTTACCCAATCCTTTGGCACCCTCCCCGGGTCAGTATTACACGTCATGTAATAGTTGTAGAATATCATCAACACGGCAATGTTGAAGGGAATGAGGACCGTCAAACATTGAACATTAAGACCACCCAAGAAATCCCAGAAAATGAAAATTTGACTACTATACGCCAAAAAACTAACAAGCGAACTGACCCCAACGATGAAAAGACGACCAGTGTCAATCATTTTTTGTGGAATTATGGCTCGCTAATTAAAAAGAATAAAATAAAAAAAATAACCAAAAATCTATGTGCATGTACGTAATGTTCAGAATGTAATAAATTAATCACACGGAAGTAAGTTATTTGGGATGAACAATTAGGCAACCCCTTTTATATGCTTTTTATGGATTAAAAAAAAAAAAATTTATAATTTGCGTGCTCCTACTTGTGTAACGGATCGCTTTTTATAAATAGGGCATACCGAGGTTCATCCACACTATCTATGGGCAAATCAAAAAAACGTGCGACAAGCGTGAAAACTGATGAACCGCGTAAAAAGGCAAACGAAAGAATTTCCGGTATTTCCAAACCGCGTACCAGAATTGAACCGTCCCTCCAATCTCAAAAAAGTAAATGCCTTATCATTATTCCAACGTTTTCTTATTCGTGTGTGATTGAAAAGTCCTTTCCAAATGGTCCTGGACAGAATTAAAGAAAAGGATTCCACAAAGGCCTGCCACGATTCCAACAGACATATACGTTTCACGTAAATCAAACTTCAAAGGTCAATTGTTTCGGGCGAAGAAGCTTCTATTGGAGGACGGGTACGGTCCGAACTTGGTAACTCAATCGTTGCGATCCCTACGGATTTCGTAAATCACAAAACTTGTCAATTCCAGACATCCCTCGATAACAATTCATGGATTAGGAGCGGCGATATTGAAATCGATCAACTTGGTATTGACCTTAGGTGACCTGATGCACAACCAAATTATCTATAAGGTCACGACCGGCACAGTCGAATTAGTGGACGATATTATACCCGAAGATGATGTGAGTGAAATCCATTCCTACTTACGAATCATAATATTAATTTATTTATTTATTTATTTATATTATTTATTTATTTATTTATTTACTATCTATTATATTTATTATTCATTTATTTGTTTGTCTATTTGTCTATTTTTATTCTACGGATGCATTGTCATCATAGGATAAAGACTTGGAAATTCAAACAAGGAATAATTCCAGTGTTCACATTCAAGTATCCCTAAAAGATGATGCTTCGACACGGAAGGATGTGTCATCTGGTTCCAAATAGTTGCATTTGATTTCCTAATTTAACGATATATCTTCAAGATTGAATCTTGTAATGTTCGGGATCGACGCATTAACAGTTGGCAGTGGATGCACTGCGCGCCTCTTAAAACGTAAACTAGGCATTAAAGACAGATGCATAATCATGTTGCCAAGAGATTAGTTAATTAGTTGTACATTGACCGATAATATTTCATACTTTTGGGGAATCACCACGATCAAAATGAAACCACAAAGATATAATACATAGACGACCATATAACTAAATTAGCAATAAAACTAGCTGGCTAAAGAAAAGTCATAAAATGCTGATGATGAAATAGCGCGAATTTTCTAATCTGGCGACTTGCTTCACGCAAGGACATCAAATTCGAGTATCGCGGCAATTGATAAAAAAAAAAAAAAGAAAAAAAAAAAAAAAGAAATCTCGGTGCATATTATGTATACCATACACTACTGTATATCTGTATATATACTGTACATATCGGAGTAATATCCATACAGTAATATCTTATCTATCTGCAGTGACAAATGGAAAATCTGTCATTGCACCCATTCTTCGTCGTCATCATCTTCAAATTCCCCTGTGTTCGCATCAACTCCTTCACTATGATCATCATCAAACTTATATTGAACTTCGTCCGGAGCTTCCGTTTTAACTTCGATTTCTTCGCTATGATCATCGTCAAAGTTATCCCGGGTTTCGTCCGGGGCCTCATATTTGACTCCGACCCCCTCACTGTGATCATCGTTGAAAGCATAATCATGGTCATCACCATTAATACTACTCGAATTTCCTTGCTCCGCTTTGGTGACAAGGTCCTCCTTCTTCTTCAGATGATCGGTTAAATACTTGTTCATGGTGAAACTGTGAATTCGTTCGTGCTTAAATATTGTCATCAATTTCTCATCACAAACAATGTATCGTTTGTCATTTGGATCCTGCAGATCGTTTTCCTTAATGTATACCCAAAGACGTTTTACCACTTCTAATCGAGACAGCTGTTTGTATATCACACACGCAAACATATTTAAATGGATACTTAAAGAAAAAAACAAACCAAGCACGCCAATCGAAAAACCATTGATGCTCACCTCTTCGGCATTTAAAAACCGCGACAACACCGGACTCAAGACCAACGGTTTGTGAATTCCGGTAATCCCTCTCCTCTTTTTCTTTTCTTCGTTACCCTCATCATCGTCGTCTTTCTTTCTCCTCTTGTGAGACGGTTTCTTCTTGGAAGACCCATTACTTTTCGACTTTGTTTTTTTTCCATTGAGTTCTTCCTCAAACCTTCTTTCATATTCTGCGTCTGAATCAACTAAAGAATTCTTGCGTTTTCTACCTCGCTTCCTTTTCTGTGGTTTATCGTCCTCCAGGGACGAATAATCGGACACACTAGACTTAGCCCGTGATTTTGTCATCTTTTTACTTTTTGATTTGCCCTTCTCATGTGACTTGGCTGAAGATTTGTGCCGCCTCTCTTCAGCGTGAACATGTTTCTTTGACTTTTGAACCTTCACCTTAACCTGCTCTTGTTCACTATCACCGGTTTCTTCTTCGTCACTCATCTCCAAAGCGTCGAAGCATTGTTCAACAAGCTGTTGAACCTCATGTTTCCTGGAAGTGAGATCTACCTTAAATTCCTGTTCCAATTTTAGACGCACATCCCTAGCGGTAATCTCTGAATGAACGGAATTCATAAGTATATTCTTGATAGTGGGAACGTAATCCATTATATCAATGTCCGCCATATTTATTATTATTATTATTATTTCTGTATTTAAACCACCTGTCTATTACCACTTCCTCGTTATTTCGCTTTGTAAGAAGGGACCAAAAATTAATGACGATAGTGAAGAATGAGACAATTCACGATTCCAACAAATTTACAGTTTAATTTTTTAAAAAATTGCAATGATTTTTTAATGGCTATAAGTATTTATTTATACACAATCATAAGCCACAGGAAAACGTAAATCACACGACTGTTATTATTCAATAGCTGTAGCACAGCACAGTACATCTGCAGATATTCGATCTCCTTTTGCGGCCTTTGTATTGGACAAGATAATGCACTTGTTAGCTCAATTCAAACAGGTTCGAGAATATTCAGTGCTCATATTTCGAGGATATCTTTTGCTGTCGATTTTTTTACTTCTACTCTCAGGGTTATCAGCCTTCACCACAATTCATGTGACATTTCCAAATCCGGAATGCCTGCTAGTTCTTAGCCGAACAAGATAACCTATCAGAAAAAGGTGTTGGCTTAAAAGAAAAGAACCAAGCATATTCTTTGCCGAAATTACGCGGATCGACAGACATCACACACCGAAAATGGGAATAGCAATGTGACCGCGAATTGGAAATTTTAATCAAACCATTTGTCTTTTCATGAGTGAATGAAAAATAAAGTATCGAATTATGTTGTTTTTTCCAACAATCAATTGCTTAAAAACGGAGATGATCATAGTCGTAATATTGTTTTGTTTCGAAGGGTTACAAACAAACTACGCACCATCATCTTCTATCATTACTGACGATTGATTATGTCAACCGATAACCATAAATTACACTTTTTTTTTTTTTTTTAATTAAATCATAATAAAAAATAAAAAGAAAATTGTTTCGTTTTTTATTTAAACGTTTCTGCCTGAAAGGTTCAAACATGCTATTCGCAAACTCATGGTAAGAAACTATGAAAAAGAAAAAGAATCGAGCATAGATGATTTTCTATTTTTTTTTCTCATAGTCGTTTCGTCGATGGCCATTATATAATCATCGGATTCCTTAAAAGACCAAAAAAAAAGATTATTTACCACCCGAATCCAATATGAATAAATAAAGTTAGTCTTTACTATGCATACAGTATCATATCCCATATAGGTTCAACCTGACCCTACGTTAAACATTTGAGCAAGATATTTCTGGCACCAGTCGCGTCCCGATCCATCTCCGTCCACAATTCCCACACATCTTTAATGTATATTCTTCGGTGTATTCAATGACCTTGTAACCTCTGAATTTCCTCGACTTATGTATGATCTCGGAACTTCCAAAACCTGAAATGCGAAGACTCTAACTTGGGTAAAAGAATGATTTCATAATTTGACACAACCAACGGGCCAGCTGATGATGGCACCCATCGATTAAATTATGAATTCGTTGTACGATTCGTAGCACCTTTTTCTAAATCGAAATCTTTCTCATGTTCTTCCATCTTTGTCGATCTGTAATTTGTCACGTTTCTTAGATAATTTATAAAATCCCACTCAATTAATTGACCTCAGGGTCATAATCGGTCATAAATGTGCGAACACTAGGAAACGGGAACCGTTGGGGTCCGAAGCATTATTTTAAATTAAAATTAATTTTAAAAAATTATTAAATATATTTTATATACTTATATATTTATTTGTTTTAATTATGTAAGTCCGAAGCTAATATTATATATATATATTAATAATCATGTGTTACACATGCGGACGGACAGAGTCCACACGTGACCTATATTCTCACCAAGGATCATAAATGTAGAAAACCAGAATTAATTTTTATACAATATTTCGTTCCATTTTATATCTTTTACTTAATACAGTACTGCTTATTGATTATAATTTAAAATATATTATTATTATTTTATTTTATTATAAATCTTTTTAAATTGCTTGTGTATTTAAAATTTTTTAAAATAAACAATTAATCATATTATCTACTTACTATATATTGTAGTTTAAAACAATATCTACAATAATGCAAAGTTGGTAACATAAGACAAATATTTTTTATATTTAAAAAATTAAAAATTGATTTAATAATTTACTTAAATAATAAATATTTTAAAATTTTTCTGTTACTTAAAATTAGAATTAATATTTTTTTAAAAAATAATTATATATGAATAATTATTTTTGAAAATAATAAAAATAATAGATGTGTTTTTTTCAACATCTATTTTAAACAATACATATACAATGTAATTTAAGGAGCACAATTATAATGTTCAAAAAATCTCTATTCACCTTCAAAAATAATTGCTTATATTTATTATTTAATTATTAATTAATTACAAATAATTATTAAATTAATAATTAATAATATCAATATTAATAGTAATGCAAGTAATATAAAATATAATATATAAGTAATATAAACAAGTCAATAAAAGAAACAAAATAATAAGAATATAATAGTTTAACTTATATTTTTTTAATATATCTGAAACTTAAAATATCTTGAATTTTTAATTTTTTAAAAAACACTTTATATATATGATATATAACAAGTAATATATAATATATATTACATAATATATAATACTAATTCAAATAGATATTAATATATTATTTAATATGAGTTTTCAAATATTAATAGTTTTATATTTAGTTTTTTAATTATTATTATAAAATTATAAAAATATTAAAATAATTATAAAATTTTTTTTTTTTTAGATAAGCTAAAATATAATTAAGCATATCTATTTATTAATATCAATAGTAAAATCAAAAGTATCAATAATAATAGTAAAAGATTTAACTAAATTAAATAAGAGTAAAATAAATATAAAGATAAAATAAGTTTTTAATTTCTAAAAAGACTTTTTCTTAATTATTTTTTAAAAATATTCTTGTTTTTATAAAAAAAAAAAAGTAAATAGAAAAGCAATAATAGAAAATTATTTGACAAATTTCTTATAATAATTAATAAGATTTAAAAAAAATTTTAGTTCAAATATATTAGTAGGTGCTAATTAATTTTAAATAATATTAATTTTTTTAAAATCTATAATAACTTTTTAAACAGAAATAAAATAGCATATATATTCAATACAATTCTTAATAATTTCTATTTTAAAATTTTAATATAAAGCTAATACTTTTTCAAATTTTATAAAACAATTTAAATACAATATGTTACAAAAAAACTTGTTTTTTTATTATTTTTAAATTTTTTGTCATATTTCAATAACTAAATAGTAAAATAAGATAAAATTTTATATTTATATGTATGAAAATATAAAGAATAAGTTTACTTAAAATGAATTTTAAATATTGTTATTAAATTTATTATAAATTTTTTTTTAAAAAAAATCATTTTAAATTTATTATAAAAAATTATTAATAAAAAATGTTTAAACTTATTTTAATATATAAATTTGTTAATTAAAAGCTAATTAAATATAAAACCAATTTTTATAAATTTTTTATAAATTAAAAAAAATTTATTATTAAGTAATATATTTTAAAATTTAATAAAATTTATATTAAAACTATAGTTAAACTATAGTAAAACTAGTTTTTTAAAAATTTACAAAATAAATATATATAAAATTTTAATAAAACAATTTAAATATAATAAAAAATATTTTATAATTTTTTTATAAATCAAATAATTTTTTTTTTGATTTTTATAATATATTTTTTAAAAAAAATTATTATAGTATTTTCCATCTATAAATTATATATAAATATTAGTCAAAAATTATTTGAAGAAATTTTTTTTAACTTTTAATCAATAAATTAAACTAAAATTATTAATTAATTATTAAAAAACTTTGATATTATATTATTTAGATTTTAAAAAAACTATATTTAAAGTTTTATATTAATTAAATTTTTATTTATTAAATTATAATAATAACAAAAAACACAATTTTTTTTGTCACATACTATATATTATAAGTGATTTTTTTTTGTTTTATCATATATAAATATATTATTTAAATATTCAATTACAAATTTATTCAAATAATTACAAAAAATATTATTTATTAGAGTTATAAAGATTATAGATATATTGATAATATTAAATAATAAAACAAAAAATTTATAATAATCATAATATTGTCATGGATCAAAGGGTTTATCAGCAGTAACAGTATAATCCTAGACTTTGCAACACTTCAACAAGGATATTTGTTATAACAGGAGGGGCTTAAAGGCAGAATGAGGTATAGATTTGATTAGTTTAGATGATTTGAAAAGATTTTATTAGTTAGAACAGAACAGTGTGATAAATAGATCAATTTTAACACTTTTTTATTAACTAATTTTTCTGCTCTTCTTTTTTTTATTATATTTTCTTATATCATTTTTATATCTTTTCTTATAGCAAAAGAAAAGAAAATAAATAAAATAAATAACAGAAATAAAATAAATAATGAAAATAAAATAAATAATGAGGTTGCAATGGTGGTGTTCCACGGAACTTAATCATATGGCCAAAGAGCAAGGTATCAGCCACAGGTGGTAAGAAAACTAGACAAAAATCGTTAAGCCAAGTGAGTCTAGTGAGGATCTACAAGATTAAATCGAAATCTAAGCAAGGACGCCAGTTCCACAGGTGGTGAAAACAGTAGTGTTGTGCTATGCTAGTGGCACATCCCGAGAATCAGTGATAACAGATTATTGGAATGACTAGGATTAATCTCTATAATTAATATTCCATATACACTGCTCTCTACAATAATGGATTAGCAGATTTAAGCGAGTTTAAACTAGTGGTAGGATTTCCTCTCTTGCGAAAGTTCCACCTAATGTGTGGACATATCTACTTGATATTGAACATATAGTTAGGTAAAAAAAGTGGTTAGCATAGCTAGTCTTTTAGTAATATATGTACTAGGCAGTGTTAAACTGCAGATTAACTGTAGAGATATAAAGGGTATTCATGTACTAACTGATTTCCAGTTAGTTTGTAAAGACACTTGGTGTCTGTCTGGATATTAAATGTATCAATAAAGATCACATGCCAT